TATAAAGATATTTATTTCAAGGATTTGGCTCACACAGTTGTGGAGACTGGCAAGTCTGAAATTGGTAGGGCAGGCCAGCAGGCTGGAAATTGACATGGGCCGATACTGCAGTCTTGAGGAAGAATTTCTTCTTCCTCTAGGAAATCTCAGTTTTTGCTCTCAAGGCCTGTCAGCTCATTGGGTGAGGCACACCCGGATTACTGAAGGTGATGTCTTTTAGTTAAAGTGAACTGATAGTAATATTAACCGTATCTACAATATATCTGACAGCAACACTTAGATGCCTGTTTGATTAGGTGATTGGGCACTATAGCCTATGCAAGTTGATGCAAACCATCATAGATATGATCAGTCTCTCCCAAAATACTTGGCTGCAGTTTTGAGGTCCCATTGGAACAGAAAGATGGGCAACTAAGAGGAAGCCCACAAATATCCCTTACAGTAGTAGCTAACAGTAGGTATGTGAAAAGCTGCCACGGGTCCTCGGTTTTCAGTTATTTTATGTGCACTGATACCAGAGACAAAAGATAGAGAAATAGTGAGGAAACAGCTCTCAACTTAACTAAAAGAAAGAGTAACATCAGTGAGAGAGGAACATCTACCAGTCGTCTCTGGTATGCACCCTGGGGATTGAACCCACAACCTACATATGTGCCCTGAGTGGGGACCAAACTCATATCTTTTTGGTGTATAGAACTGCACTCCAACCAACTGAGCCACTCGGCCAGGGCAAGACTGGCTTAAAACACACGTACACACACACTGTAGTGAGTTCTTATTACTAGGTATTCATACATGATCTATATTACTATAGTATAAGGCATAAAACTAAAGCCCAATATTATGTGTTCTTGATCTGGGGGAAACTGAAAGAGCCTTAAATGGCCTAACCACAAGTTCTGCTCCCCAATCTATTCCCACAGACAAGGTTCCTTCCCCACAGGACCCTTCTTATCAAAAGGATCAGGCACAATATCTGCTTATACCTGAGTAGCAGGTTCAGCCCCCTGCCAGCCATCAAATGATCCAGTCAAGCCAATCATGTTCTCTCATGAGAATCAAGGGGACTCCATCCTCTTATACCAAAAACCCTGTTTCTCCCAGCCTCTACTAACAGCAGTGCTGTTAGTAGCATTTTACCTACAATAGAACTCCTTTCAAAATGAGTCGATCCTCCCAAATCCTGTTGCCACTTTATCCACTAAGTTTACGTAATATTCTAAATCCTGTGTTCTTGTTCAACAGTCTTTACAGTATCTTCACCAGGAGTAGATTACATCTCAAGAAACCACTTTGTTTGCCCATCTACAAGAAGTAACTCCTCATCTGTTAAAGTTTTCTAATGAGATTGCATAAATTTAATCACATCTTCAGGTTTCACTTCTAATACTAGTTCTTTAGCTGTTTCTACCACATCTGCAGTTACTTTCTCCACTAAAGTCTTCAGCCTCTCAAAGTCATCCATCAGGGTTAGAATCAGCTTCTTCCAAACTCCTGCTAATGTCGATATTTTGACCTCTTCCCATGACTCACAAATGTTCTTAATGGCATCTAGAATGGTGAATTCTTTCCAAAAGGTTTTCACTTTATTCTGCCCATATCCTTCAGAGGAATCACTGTCTGTGGCAGCTACAGCTCTACAGGATGTATTTCTTACTAAAACTTGAAATGCAGAATTATTCCTTTATCTATGGACTGCAGAATGGATGTTGTGTTAGCAGGTGTGAAAACAACATTAATCTCCCTGTACATTTCCATCAGAGCTCTTTGGTGACCAGGTGAATTGTCAGTGGGCACTCATATTCTGACAGGAATCTTCTTTTCTGAGGAGTTTGTCTCAACAGTGAGTTTAAAATATGCATTGAACAATGTTGTAAACAGATGTACTGTCATCCAGCCTTTGTTGTTCCATTTCTAGAGCTCAGGCCTAGTAGGTTTAGCATAATTCTTAATGACCCTACGATTTTGGGAGTGGCTTCATCTCAAAGTCACCATCTACATTAGCCCCTAGCAAGAGAGTCAGCTTGTTCTTTGAAGCTCTTTGAAGATAGGTGTTGACTTCTCCTTTCTAGCTATTAAAGTCCAAGGTGCCATCTTCTTTCAATAGAAGGATGTTCATCCTGCACTGAAAATCTGTTGTTGTGTGTAGCCACCTTCATAAATGATCTTAGCTAGATCTCTAGGTAGCTTGTTGCAGTTTCTACATCAGCCCTTGCTGCTTCGCTTTTCCTTAAACCACATGAACCAACCTCTGCTAGCTTCCAGCTGTTCTTCTGCAGCTCCCTCACCTCTCTTGGTGTTCATAGAATGGAACTGAGCTAGAACCTTGTTCTGGATGAGGGTTTGGCTTATGGAAATGTCATGGCTGGTTTGATCTATTCAGACCACTAAAACTTTCTCCACTCTAGTGTTAAGGCTGTTTTACTTTATCACTTGCATTCACTGGAGTAGCACTTTTAGTTTTTTCAGGAACTTTTCCTTTGCATTCATAACTTGGCTGTTTGGTGCAAGAGACCTTGCTTGTGGACTGGCTCAGCTATTGACATGTCTTCCCCACTAAGCTTAATCATTTCTAGCTTTTGATTTAACATGAAAGAGGTCTGACTCTTCCTTTCACTTGAAAAGTTAGAGGCCATTGTAAGGTTATTAGTTGGCCTGATTTCAATATTGTTGTTTTTCAGGGAATAGAGACATCCCAGGAGAAAGTGCTAGATGGGAGAATGGCTGGTCAGTGGAGGAATCAGAATACACACAATGTTTACTAATAAAGTTCACTGTTTTATGATGGTGTGGATTGTGGCAATCACAACAGGAACATCAAACGTCATTGATCACAGATTACTATAACAAATATAGTAATAATGAAAATATATGAAATGTGAGAATTACCAAAATGTGACTCAGAGACACAAAGTCAGCAAATGTTGCAAAACTGGCACCTGTCGACTTGCTGGACACAGGGTTGCCAGAAAACTTCAGTTTGTGTAAGAACCACAGTATCTGCAAAGCACACTAAATCAAGGCACAATAAAATCAGTATGCCTGTATGTACATAGAAATTTGTTTATCTGTCCACGATTAGCACCTATCGGGTTGTTATGCAAGCTGTTTATTTATGTATTTCTTCTTTTCACCTCAGAGCTCAGAAAGACATGCTTCATTAATTATTTTTATTAATTTTGTAAAAACCTCCAAGTAGCATAATGTTAGACATATAGTGGATATTCAGTGAGTATTTGGTTAGGGAATCTGAAAATGACTGTCTTCATCAGAATTTGAGGGAAAAAACACAATGATCTGTGAATTTCTCCTTAAACGTTATAATATACAAGTAAAGAGTTACAAATATGGTTTCCCCAACAGTGTCAAAATCCACACTCAGCCCACCCGCCTGTAGATGGAGGAAATGCGGTCTTGGGAATGTTGCCCAGTTTTTCTCTTTTCATTCCCCTTCCAAAATGCGTGCCAGTTGCCTTATGGCTTCTGAAGAACCCTGAAGGCAGCATCTCACTTTGTGTAGGAAGGAGCATTAGTATAGCTGCAAGGTGATCCCAGCTTCTTGTCTGTCTGTTGATTTTGAACGCTCCCTTCAGTTCACAATCCTTGCTGAGAGCTAAAACATTGCTTCTGCAGAAAGTGTTTATTTCAGTGCGCAGCTTCCCAGCACCCCTATTGTAAATTATGGGGAGATACGGAGAAAGCGGAAATGGCTGGCTTGAAGATTTTTTACTTTTTTTTTTGTTGATTTCTGTTTTATTCCTTACTGAATTTAAATTGGCCTACTTATTAAATTTATTGTTTTTCAATTTTTATTGAGATAACTAAAATACAAATACAGTACCGTAGAAGCTTCATTGTGTACAGCATAATGATTTGACTTTCATGTGTTGTGAAGTTATTACCACAATAACTTTAGTTAACATTCATCATCTCATGTAGGTATTAAAAAGAAAAAGGAAAAAGGTTCATTTCTTTGTGAGAATCCTTCAGAGTTACTTTTCCCATCCTTCAGTGTTAACTAGTAATCACGTTGTACGCTGCATCCCTAGTACCGATTAGCCTGGAAGTTGGTACCTTTTGAGCACCTTTATTCAGTTCTCCTTTCCCTCTCCCTCGCTTCTGGTAACTGCGAATCTGATCTCTTGCTCTGTGAATTTTAATTTCTCTCACTCTCTTTTTTCTTTTTAGATTCTGTATATTAGTGCAATCATACAGAATCTGTCCTTCTCTTTCTGAATTATTTTACTTAGCATTATTATTTCACCCATGTTGTGGCAAATGGCAGGATTTTCTTATTTTTTGTGGCTGAATAATACTTCACAGCTTATTTATTCACTCACTGATGGACACTTAAGTTATTTCCACAACGTGGCTATTGTAAACATGTGTGATGCTGTTATGGACATGGGGGTGCAGACACCTTCATAATAGTCTTTTCATTTTCTTTGACTGTATTCTAAGAAGTGAAATTGCTGGATCACATGGTAGTTCTATTTTTAATTTTTTTAAGGAAATTTTATGCTCTTTTTTTCTAGTGGCTGTATTAATTTACATTCCCACCAACAGGGCACAGGGTTCCCTTTTCTCCACATTCCTGCAAGCATTTGTTATGTTTAAATTTATTCGTTTTATAGATTTATATATGTGTCTTTTTCCGATGCATCAGTTTAATAATTTTTAAAAGAAACAATGAAATACCTAGTCTGACAAAGGAATTTGTTTAATTCATCAATTCACTGTATATCTTCAGAGAGGTATAAAATAAATTGTGCTCATTGGCAGAAGTAAAATCACTTAAGTCACCCCTGATATTAAAACCAAAGGTGTAATTTCCATGTCCACATATCTTCATACAGTACCAAGCATGTGTTTGGCACTTGGTAAATATGTATTGGTTAAATAATTTAATAATAGGATGTGCTCCTTCCACTGAGCACAGACATCAAGAAAGACTTTAATGTAACAGCATTGTTTTCTCCATCTCCTGGGTTTATTCACAGTAAACAGGTCCGAGCTCTGCTGGGCCAGTTCAGCCAGGCAGAAGCCTTATTAATGAAAGCCGGCGTGCAACCAGGCACTTTGGACGGAGTTCTTTTGGATCTTGGATGTTCCTCCATGCAGCTTGATGCTCCTGAAAGAGGTTTTTCCCTTCGTAAGGATGGCCCTTTGGACATGAGAATGGATGGTGGCAGGTGAGTATCTATAAAGCATTTTTCCTCCACAACAAGAAATCAATTTCTCAAAAGCACTCTGAATTTAATTTCCTTTTAAGACAGCAGAATTCCCATTATACGCCCACACCTAACACTATCCATATATAATAAATCAGTTTTGTTTGCTACTCATTGTAGCTTTTTGTGTTTCTCTAGACTTGGGATTCTGAAAGAAAAACCATTGCTGCCTTTACACAAAATAATGAGGAGGGTAACTTTCATACTGGTTATCTCTTTTACGGATACAGTGTGAGCTTTTAGACTGCTGACAATGGTGATACGTATGGCACTGAAACAATGGCTCCATTTCTACATAGGCCCAACTTTGTCTGTTGTGAGAAGTAAAAAGGAACTGTGTCTAATGCAGATTGCTTTGAACTCTGCATTAAAGTCAGAATTCCAGAGGTCAGCAATGATGTGTTTTATCCTGTGTCTTATACATTGACTTTGTTTCCACCTTCCTAGGACAAACTGCACTTTACGGTACTGTGTCAAACAGTTTATACCTCCTCTTTATTCCTCATCACCCTGGGAATACTAGCATTTGTTCTTCATTAGTCAAATAGGCACATACATATTAAAAAACACAAAGAGGATAACATTCTAGTAAAGTACAGGATAGTTTCTTTTGAATCTAAATTACTTTTGAAAGCTTTATTTGCACTTGTTCGTATGCCCAACACTGGCCCAGGGACTTACCAGCCTGTACGGTCAAAACTCACCCATGCCTTTCTACCTCATCTCCTGCCCCCACCCCCACTGCCACCAAGTTCTATATCATGTCCCCTACCTTTGTGAAGTTATTGTCTAAGAAGACGGTTAGACTTTCATATATATCTAAGTAAGCAAATTATTCAGTTACTCTTTCTGATCTACAATTCTATACCTATGTAAATATTTCTACTGAAACAAACAGGTTTTCCAAAATTTCTTTCAGTTAGAAGGATCTGTATATAAGAAATCTAACATTCAATTTAAATCAACAAATTACTATTGAGCTAACTTCAACTTCTGTGTCAGAAACTGCTGTATCCTATGGTAATTATTCACATACAGTCCTCCCCCCATGCTTTGGTAGGACCTGTTAACTGAGACTGTGACCCACACTTGTTGGAATCTTTTTGTTCTGAGTCTTTTACCTTCTTTGCACAAGTTGGCATTCATAGAATGAAGAATGTGATCATAAAAGAAAATAATAAAAATCTTTTAAAAACCAGTGACTAATAGTAAAGGTCAAATATCTTCTCATGTTTGGAGATTGAGGTTGTGCAGAGGTAATAAAATGTCAAGCAAATTTCTGCTGTTCCCATGTCTTGCCAGGGAGGATGCCTTCTGAAATACAATGAACGAAGCTTCTAGTTCATAGTGTTAAATCCCCAAATTGTTATGTGAAGATTTATCAGCAAATTTTAGTTTGAGAGTCAGGGTTCCTGAAGTTCTCCTCTAAGAACTTGACAATGATACTGCTTTGAGAAAGTAAACTCTATACCAACACATAATGGATGGGATTAGACATGACAAAATGTATCTTAAAAAGCGGGTCAGCTTCCAGTGAGTTTGCATGACTATAACTTAACCAAAGATGTGAACATATCCGGAGAAAGTATGTGGCATGCAAAAAGGGGGAGTTGGCTCACACAGATTTATAGAAGGTGGAGTCAGAGACGGAATTATGTGCAATGTTAGTCCAAAATGTGTTATGGGGAAAGAGAGTCTAAGGCAACAAAATGTGGCCAGTCAGATCATGGAGGCTGAGCTAACCCTGCCCTGGATGTGGACTCAAGTGGCTCTCTTCACCTGTTGCTAGTTAACACTGGAGTCTTCATTTGTGCTCTCCCAATTTCAACAACAGCTTTAAGATCCTAGTAAGGTTCTCACACAGTAGAAAGAGGCTCGCAGCTTTAGGGACTCGCCAGTGTAGCCCTGTGTCGGTTGTATTCTTCACTAGAGGGCAATAAATAAATTGCCTCTTAGGTTCATACTGTCTTTCTCTCATGAGTGTAAGCATTGTAGGTCTGTGATCTCCGGAGGACTGACAACTATCTTAACCTGTTAAGTTGGGATGGGGGAGCAGATTTTGTATCTTGACTTCTTCACATATATGAATGCCTATTCTGAAGACTCCTAGTAACCTGCTGGCTTTCCAGAGTGTTGCCCCTTTTGTCTTGTGCTATGAAGACTTCTGTCATGCTCTTCATTGTTAACATTACAGTGAAATAAAATTATGCCTGTTATCCACTGAAGTGTATTTGCGTAAAATGATCTTTTAATTTTCTTACTTCAAAGTAGAAAAGTATTATAAAAAATTGCCAAGTTACATCCATACTAATTTTAAAATTGTCTTGTTTGAGCTGAACTCTATCCTATGGAGTCTGAATTTGCCATTGTTTGCAAGGTTCATTCTAATGCTCAGTGGTTTGAGCAGTTGAATTCACAACTAGGTAAGATCTATCAGGGATTTTTGTTGATGGGGCCAAAAGTAATGATTGACAAATCTAAGAATGGGAAAAATCTAAGGGACATTGACATGCATTGAGGCCAAGAATTATAGAACTTATAATTGGCCAAACATTATAGTATTTGTTCTACAATTATATGCACCATTAATCCTCCTAACAATTCTGTGAGGTAAGCATTGTTACTTTCATTTATAGATTAGAAATTGAGGTTCCACTATATTAAAAAGTTTATCCAATATGAGTAGCAAAGCCAGGATTTGAGATCTAGTTCAGTTGGATGCTGAAGACCAAATATTTATCCTTAAAGCTTTTACTGAAGAAGCAAGCTTTATTGAATTAGAACCCACACAACCTCATAAGATGATCATTCATCTGGGGTACCATGGAGCCAAAAAAATCAAACACATGATCTAGAAAGCAAGTTTTGAAAGGGAGAGAGGGAAAGAGAGAGATGGAGATGGAGGGGACAAGCCAAAGACAACAGCAACATTTTCTCCTGGAAGACCTAGGCATGCTAACAAGGTACAGTGTCATGTATTTAAGGAAGGATTTGGGTTTCTTGGCAACCTTACTCTGATTTGATTCTTAGGTCTTCAAGCTGCCATATTCTTGTTACCTAAAGTCCTCACACTGTGGTACCAACAATCAATCCAACATATGAACTACAAGTAGTAACTCCTATTGGCAAAGCTATCTTTCTAATAAGTAAGGTTTTGGTTAACCCATCACTTAGCATCCCTTGACCCATTTCTCTTAAGTAAGGTAAACTGGCATGGTCCGACAGAGTGAATGCTATTTTCTGCTACTATGATTTATTTTATTTCAACAAAGCTTGCTATTTCTTTGTCTTCTTCACATGAAATTACCGTGTAGGCTTGTTTAGAATTGCTGATTAACAAGTTTTATCCCATGATACCTTTTTCATGAAGGTAGGAGCCAATATTGTTGAACATTTGAAATAATATACATTATTATCATTAAGATTGTTCTATTTTTTGTGAGGGGAACTAACCAGCAGTATCTTCTTGTACAATAGTTCCCCCTTACCCCCAGTTTCACCTTCTGCAGTTTGTTACCTGGGATCATCCATGGTCTGAAACTATTAAATGGAAAATTCCAGTAATAAACAATTCATAAACTTTTTTACATGACATGGGTTTCTTTATTATGATTTTTTATTGTTGTTCAATTACAGTGGTCTCCATTTTTTTCTTCATTACTCTCCCCCATCCTACCCACCTCCACCTCCCACATTCAATTCTCCCCACCGCTGTTTTTGTCCATGGGTCCTTTATACATGCTTTGTGACTTGACCCTCCCCCTCCTTTCCCCGATCATCCCCCTCCCTTCTCCCCTCGAATTACTGTCAGTTTGTTCTTTATTTCCATGTCTCTGGTTGTATTTTGCTTGCTTGTTTGTTTTGTTGATTAGGTTCTGCTCATAGGTGAGATCATATGTTATTTGTCTTTTACTACCTGACTTATTTCACTGAGTATAATGCTCTCCAGTTCCATCCATGCTGTCCTGAAGGGTAGGAGTTTCTGTGTAGTATTCCATTGTGTAAATGTACCATAGTTTTTTGATCCAATCATTTACTGTTGGGCACTTAAGCTGTTTCCAGCACTTGGCTATTGTACATTGCACTCCTAGGAACTTTGGGGTGCATAGGTTCTTTTGAATTGGTGTTTCAGGATTCTTAGAGTATACTCCCAGAAGTGGAATTGCTGGGTCAAAAGGCAGTTCCATTTTTAGTTTTTTGAGGAAATTCCATAATGTTATCCACAGTGGCTGCACCAATCTGCATTCCCTCCAACAGTGCACAGGGTTCCCTTTTCTCCACCCCCTTATCAGCATTTGTTTGTTGATTTGTTTATGATGGCCATTCTGACCAGTATGAAGTGGTATCTCATTGTGGTTTTAATGAAATATCAGAAACAGAAATCAGGGAAAAAGTCCAATTTGCTAGTGTACCAAGAAATATAAAATACCTAGGAATAAACCTAACCAAGGAGATAAAAGACCTGTATTCAGAACAGTACACAACACTGAAGAAAGAAATTAAGGAAGACACAAATAAATGGAAACATGTACCACATTCAGAGGTTGGAATAATTAACATAATCTTCCATATTACCCAAAGCAATTTATAGATTCAATAAAATCCCTATTAAAATACTAATGACATATTTCACAGACATAGAACAAACATTTCAAAAATTTATATGGAACCATAAATGATTCCAAAATTGCAGCAATTTTGAGAAAGAACGAAGTAGGAGGGATCACCATACCTTACCTCAAACTATATTATAAGGCCACGGTAATCAAAACAGTCTGGTACTGGCATAAGAACAGACACACAGATCATGGAACAGAATTGAGAGCTTAGAAATAAGCCCAAGTGTCTATGGTCAATTAATACTCGAAAAAGGGGGCAGAAGCATAAAATGGAGTAAAAATAGCCTCTTCAACAAATGGTATTGGGAGATCTGGACAACCACACGCAAAAAAAATGAAACTTGACCACCAACTTACACCATACACAAAAATAAACTCAAGATGGATAAAAGACTTAAATATAGGTTGTGATACCATACAAGTCCTAGAGGAGAACATAGGCAGGAAAATCTCAGATATTCCACACAGCAATAGTTTCACTGATATGTCTTCTAGAGCAAGGGACATAAAGGAAAGAATAAACAAATGGGACTTCATCAAAATAAAAAGCTTCTGCATGGCTAAAGCAAACATCAGAAAAATGAAAAGGGAATCAACTGTAGGGGAAAAATATGTTTGCAAATGATACCTTGGACAAGGGTTTGATCTCCAAAATATATAAAGAACTCACACAACTCCACACCAGGAAAACAAACAATTAAAAAGTGGGCAAAGGACCTGAACAGACACTTTGCCAAGGAGGACATACAATTCATAAGCTTTAAACTGTGAGCTATTCTGAGTAGCAAGGTGAAACCTCGTGGTGTCCTGCAGGTGAGTCATCCTTTTGTCCAGCATACCTATGATATATATGCTAACCACTCCTTAGTCATTTAGTAGCCAATTGTGTTACCAGGTCAGCTGTAGTGGCATCACAGTGCTTGTGTTCAAGTAGCCTTTATTTTACTTAATAATGGCCACAAAGTGCAAAAGTAGTGATCCTGGTAATTCAGACATACCATAGAGAAGCTACAGACTGCGTGTATATACATATAGTTTATATATGGCTCTGAACTGTCTGTGGTATCAAATTTCTGTTAGGGGTCAGTCTTGGAATATATTGCCTGGGATAAGGTAGGACTTGTGGGGATTTTTGGTGTTTAATTTCTGCTCCAATATAAGTAGTCAGTTCCTGAGATCTAGGCTCATCTAAATGTAAGTTAGTAAGCCTTGTATCTTCTATAGTGAAAAAATTTAAGCATCAATTTAAATTTTAAACGAACTAAATCCAAATATTTCCAGTTTATTTTAGTTTAGGAGAAATCTGCATAAGCCATAACTTTTTTGTGAATTAAAGGTTAGTAAAATACAGGGTCCAGCAGAAGTAAGGCCTGCTTGAGTGTGATTGGTGGGTTAATAACATGGATGTAGTAATTTATAGTTTCAATTTGAACATTACACCTAAAATGTCATATGGTATTCTTGAGTGTGATATTGTTATGTTACAGAATTGCATGCTTAAAATTTGTAATAAAATATTTTGTAATAAAAAAGGGGCGTTCTTTGTGCTGGACTCTGTATTTTAACTTCCTGGTGCCCTTGACCTTGACGAATGTCACACACACAGTCCCCAAGTGCCATCATGATGGGTATTTGAAATGCAAAACCTATTTCCTTCCTTTAAAATTCCAGTCTCTGACTTTAAAAACCTCAGAAGCTCTCTTAGACAACGCGTGTATGCCTGACTTTATGTCTCATTACTCCGAAATTTCACCTCTTGTCAATGAAAACTGACGTCAATGAACTAATTGGTTCTTCTTGTGCGTAGGTACCCTGACATGCCCACCGCAGCTGATGTTGTGAACGCATTAGATCAACAGGCACTTGCATCCATCCTGAGAACATACGGGGAGGAGAAGCATGCCAAGAAAATCGCTTCAGCAATCGTTCAGGCACGCAGCATCTACCCCATCACCAGAACCCAGCAGCTTGCCAGCATCGTTGCAGGTACCCTCATTAATTCTGAGCAGTGTCTGAGAAAAAAATATACACGTATATATTAATCCCCCAAACTCCCAGAGGGATTCATTTGTTCCCTGAAATCATGCAGGATAGAATCTTGCCTATCCTTCTCTCATACCACTTTCTTTGGGTTTTGGAAGCTATCCCTCTGTAACACTTCTCTTCCCCCCACAAACAATTTTTAAAACTATACTGTAGTTTGCTGATTAGTTTAATAGCATATGTATGTATTTTTTACATGAGGTAATTTACCAGTTGTGCCTATCAAGGTAAAACATAGAATGACAAAAGCAGAAGAATTTCTTGATGCATCACAGTGCTTGATAAGCATCCTGTATAAGATCTGACATTACCTTTCAGTTTCACATTTCTGCATTTTAATATTTTGGGCAAAAAGAGAATTGCATTGCCCAACTGCTAAAATAAAACCCAGTGACTCATACATCTATTCCAAACAGCCGTCTAACAAAGGGTATGTGATGTATAGGTTATTCCACTTTGTGAATGCTAACTAAATCAGCCTGAGGGGCTTATTGAAACATTTCATCTTTTCTGCTGTTTGCCACCATAAACCTCTTGAACCTAAGTCTAGCTAGGATGAACTTTATTACAGCCTTTCTGTTTGAAGCCAAAGTCATTTCACAGCTGTGTTCCATGATGAAAGTTTTCTAAGGCAAAAATATAACTCTGGCAGTTAAGACAGAATTCCAGTTGTAAATTCTGTCTTATTGGACCTTCTAAAATCCTACATCATTTTTACTCATCAAATGTATGAAGATTTCTTTTCAGTGGTTTCTGTTAAGTTAGTTAAGTAGTTAAAGACATAGGGGAAAGCATACAGAAGGAACCTGTATTGGTTATTTCTATCTTAATATTATCCATAATTTAAGGGATAAAACTTAATTATAAGTTTATTCAGATCAAGATTTAAAGGTCATATAGTGATTGTTTTATGACATAACTTCATAAAATTATATTCTACTTATGCTAATAAATATGAAAACTTGACTAAGTGTTCAATTTTTTAAGCTGCCTACATCAAGCCCCTCAAAACTTAACATTGAGCAACTACAGGCAAGTAATTGCAAAGTTCCCGTGGGTTATGTGAGCATGAAATATTTCACTCTATTTTTTGAGGCATTTATACTGGCACTCTGATGTTAAATTCACCCTCTGTTTTATGCGCCCTTCTCTTTCCCACTCCCTACTCCCTAACGTGTCTCGACCTTACCCTTTCTGTCATTCTTCAGCTAGCTCTAGGTGTTGTTCTCTGTCTCCTGTACTGGAAAGAAGAGCAGTGAGAAGTCACTTTTTTTTATTCGCAAGGAAATCCAGAATTTTCTGGTACTGAAAATGAGGTTTTGGGGCTAGAGGGTATTCTAGAGATCATCCAGTCAAAAATCCTTGTCTGATAACTGGAGAAACTGAGGCTCAGAGAGTGTCAACAGTTTCTTCAAGGATACAGCCTAATCAATGACAGCCTGGGTACTAAACTATAATTTGGAAGCTCATGAATTTGAAACATAATCAGGAATCTGCCTTTAAGAAAGTAACTTTTCTATCTCAGATTCCCAATCTGCAGATTTAGGAGAAATAACACTGTAGCACTAGAGAGAAATTACATGAAGATGTGGAATAGGAACAGGTTAAGTATTTTCAGAAAGACATGGTATGAAATACATATTGGGGCTATGAGAAACGCTACAGTAAAAGTGCTAATATTTGTATATGTGTATGTAAAACCCCATTTTAGTAAATGCCACTAAAAATTGAGTCCATTTTTGCGGCTTATGTCAGCCCATAATAAAACTTTATTGATCATGATATACTTCTTTTAAAAAGGGAAAACAGATACAATGAAGTTACATTTTGTGTTCATTTACTCAAAAAATAATTTGGGAGAGGCTGGTCTGTACCAGGCATGATACTGAGTACTAAGCACAGAATGGAGAGTTAATGGGATAGAGCCCCTGTGTTCTCAACTCTTATGGACTAATAAGCGAATGAATAACTTCATGGTGCAGTAAACTTATATTTATAGTAGAAGCCTTATTTATTGTAGTCCGAAGTTATGATTGTGCGGCTAATAGAAAACGCTGATAAATGTGTAGAATTATAGAATAGTTCCACAAACTGCATTCTTACATAAACCATACCCATGGTATATCTTTTAAGATCTGATTTTATTTTTATTAAAATGAAGTAAGAATTTCAAGGGATTTACAAAGCAATCTGAATGGGCATATTTTCTAGATGTGCATTATTTTTTCAATCTTTTATAGTTACCTCACCAACATCTAATTTGATTGCATTTTTTACGTGACTCACCCTTGTCAAGAGTTTCCAAAGTCTCCAACCTAGTTTTCATGGAAACAGCAGCTGTCTTTCCTTTTGCATTCATATTTCATCAGTTACATAAAATTTGATTAAATCATGTAAAGCAATAGTAAGTGGCCTGGGATGTAAGTGTACAATTCTTTTGGTGGAATTAGAACTGTATAGAATCTGTTCTATAGATTCTAAAATAGAATCTATAGAAAGAAGGAATCTATAGGTAGAATAAAATACTATCCCAAGATATTTTGTTTAACAGAGAAAGGGATTTTTTGTCAAGTCCATCAAATAGAAGTCTCTTAAGAGAACACTTCACAAAGGAAATATGAGAAGCCGTGCAGTGTCCAGGAAGGTTCCTATATGAGTTTCTTGGTTCTGCCATAGCTAAGTAGCACATGTGATGGTTTAAAACAGCAGAAAGGCATTCTTAGAGTTGAGAAGTCTAGATATCCAAAACCCAGGCATCAGCAGGGCCCTGGGAAAGAATGCCTCCTTGACTATTCCTAGTGTTGGTTGCCACAGTCCTCGATACATCAGTAAGCCTCCGCCTCCACCGTCATAGGACTTTCTCCCAGTGCGTCTGTCATTGTGTCCAAATTGCCCTCTACTGTAAGGTCACTCACTGGTCATATTGGAGTTAGGGCCCACCATAATCCAGTATGTCCTCAATTTAACTTGATTTTGTCTGCAGCGACCCTATTTTTAAATAAAGTCAACATTCACAGGTTCCTAATAGACATGAACTTTAGAAGACACTCTTTAACCCAGGACAGCTGGTAAGCCATACCATTGTTTAACAAACATGTATTTTGGCGAGCTATAAAATGTAGTGAGTATATTTGAATGACTTTTCTCATACCAAATATTTTCAAGATTATCAAGCACTTTGGGAAATATGCCAGAGTTCCTGACACAAAGTAAAACCTGTGTACTAATGGAAATAGAAATCACTTCCTTTCATTTCAAAAAGCTAATAATCCATTAAGACAAGGAAGACCACCACCCTTGTGATCCCAACATACTTGATGGAATTACATCATTATTAAAGTGATTAAGCTGTACTTTGTAAAACCTAAAACCCAGTGCCTTTTGCTAGAATAAATAACTACAGTTCCATGTCACGTGAACTCCAGAAGACAGGTTTGAGGACCCAGGTTGGAACAGAACACTTAAACTGTGGTGAATTACTTTGTAGGTTGCCAAATCAATAATCAATAAGGTAATTCCAAAACAACTAGTATGACTTCCCCATTTATACCAACTATTCAGACCACTAGCCAGAAACTTTAATGCAAATATCTAACATATATATAGAGTTACATATAGTATACCCGGCAAAAAAATTTATTTTTTAAATATATTTTATTGTTTATGCTACTACAGATGTCCCATTTTGTCTCCTTTCTTCCTCTCCACCCTGCACACCCCCCTGACCAGCATTGCACTCCTTCCACCTTTAGTGCATGTCCGTGGGTCATACATAAAAGTCCTTTGTCTTCATTTCTGTTACTATTCTTAACCTCCTCCTCTCCATTTTGTACCTACCATTTATGCTTCTTATTCTCTGTACCTTTTCTCCCTTTCTCCTCCCCCTCCCCCACTGATAACCCTCCATGTGATCTCCATTACTGTGATTCTGTTCCTGATCTAGTTGTTTGTTCTTGTTTTTTTTAGTTTCAGTTTTGATGGTTGTGAGTTTGTTGTCATCACTGTTCATATTTCTGATTTTCTTTTTCTTACAATGTTAAGTCCCTTTAACATTTCATATAATAAAGACTCGGTGATGATGAACTCCTTTAATCTGACTTTATGTGGGAAGCACTTTATCTGTCCTTCCATGGGCAGATAAATGATACCTTTATCATTTATCTAAATGACAAATGATACCTTTTATCATTTAGATAAAAATGATACCTTTGCCGGATAGAGTAATCTTGGATGTAAGTCCTTGCCTTTCATGAATTTGAATACTTCTTTTCAGTCCCTTCTAGCCTGTAGGGTTTCTTTTGAGAAATCAGCTGATAGTCTTATGGGAACTCCTTGTAGGTAACTCGCTCCTTTTGTCTTGCTGCTTTTAAAATTCCGTCCTTATCCTTAATCTTGGGTAATGTAATTCGGATGTGCCTTAGTGTGAGCTTCCTTGAGTCAAAAGAAGTTGGACCCTCGGAGCTTCCTAGACTTCCTGGAAGTCTATTTCCTTTGCCAGATTGGGGAGGATCTCCTTCATTATTTTTTCAAATAAATTTTCAATTTCTTGGTCTTCTTCTGGCACCTCTATGATTATGATGTTGGAATGTTTAAAGTTGTCCTGGAGGTTCCTAAGCCTCTCATCATTTTTTTGTTTCTTCATTCTCTTCTGGTTGATTGTTTATTTCTTCCTCCTGGTCCAAACCATTGAGTCCTATCCCTGTTGGTTCCCTGTACATTTTCCTTTATTTCAGTTTTCTTAGCCTTCACTTTTTCCTCTATTTTGCGACCATACTTAACGAATTCTATGAGCATCCTGATCACCAGTGTTCTGAACTGTGCATCTGATAGTTTGCCTGTCTCTTCATTGCTTAGTTGTATATTTCTTGGAGCTTTGATCTATTCTTTCATTTGGGCCATTTTTTTGTTTGGTGCACTTGTTACATAGGAAGGGGCAGAGCCTT